ATAGTTTAGTCGGGCAGTTGATCAGTATGGCCATGTATGGAAGTGCGCACATTACACCGATTCGATTTGGCCGATTCTCTATACAATTTAAAATCGGGCACAACTATCGGCCAACTAAAAATCGGTGGTCTGCGCCTAGTCTTAATTTCAAAGAACAGGAAAGAATAGAATATTATTTATTTAGCACACAAAAGAAGATGAATACAAACGACATAATGAACACAAAAAGAAACCTTATCACAATGAAATTAAAATAGCTTTGAGTTCGTTCGTTTCAGCCGAAAGACGTCCACTGCTGGACAAGGATATCCACAAAGACCGGTCCTGCGCCGCTCGCATCCAGGCACCTCCCGCGACCTTCACCAGATCGTCGGTCCACCTAGTGGGAGGCCTGCCCACGCTACATCTTCCGGCTCGAGCTTTGAGTGCCCTGTGCCAAAAAGGTTGCTGGCTCAGCATTAGTTGTGACATTAAAGACATTAAAGCTCACCAGCTCTGTGGCGACAATACAATACAATACAATATGCACGGTTCCATCAAACATAATGGTGGGCCTTGAAATGACTTTGTTTTTCTTTTTTCAAATTGCGTTGGGAAACTAATCACGCAGATATTACTTCAGATGACCTTCCGATCACAGAAAACTCTCTGTTTCAACTTGAATGATTCAGACATTCAGGATTAGGGTTGTGAATGTCTCAAAGTATCATAAATCTTAACACTCGTGCAACTTTACTCTGATGGTTTAAGCTCAAACGAAATTGAGATATGCACGGTTACTATAAGTTTGAACAATTTCGGTCTCTGTAGAATACGAGTAGCAACAGCAGTCTTTTATCGTAGGGGCTATCGTAATAATGAGGGTTGCAATTCAAAATAGTGAAGACTGATTTTGAGTTGACTTGTGTGACTATTAAAGATAGATTCACATCTATACGTCAGGTGCGCTGGACGAATTTTGTATGAAACACGAGGCCATAATTTCCACAGTCCAGTCAAACTAGTGATATCAAACCATAGTTCGATACTGCTAGATACCATACTTTAAATGTAGAGATCAACGAGAAACAGATCTCGTCTCTACAGTTTGGTATTATTTTATGACACTATGTCGACATCCTTAAAGATTCCGTATTGAGTAAAATACAGAAGAAAAATAACATCCGACAATAATCACGTGGAAAAATCCGTCTGCAGCTTCTTAAACGCCCTCATTTTAGTGAGTTATTACTGAAGCGTTATCTTAGAATCTGCTCACGCTACACTTTGTGAGTCAGCATTTTAATGAACTAGGAAAACTGTAATTGTAGCATTACATCGGTGGTTATAATCTCATCTTTTCCCTCTCGGCGAGACGATAGTAAAAGTGAGAGCGTAGCACTTGCGCCGGCGCACGGACGCACTAGGCAACCTTGTCTGCAATGCAGGTCATTTGAAGACGTTTTTCATTCATCTTTTATACCTACACTTCAAGAACATAACTGGAACTTAGTACGCATAAAAAGAACGTCTCATGGTGCGTACGGTTTGCACGTACCCTGGTACGCGCAATCCGTACGCACCTTCAGAAGAATTGAGAAGGATTTTCTTTTATGGATACTTTAATATGCCAGCAATGTTTTTATTGCTGCCCAATAGATACTTTAGATTTTAGGATTTAGAATTAATTTATAAGACAAGCTATTGTTCATAATCCCCTTTTTTATTGTGTCTGCAGGTCAAGTCTGAAGATATAATTACTACCTATCCATTGAACTACCGTGACCTGAACATCAGACTATCCGGTCATCACAACTGCATTATTCAACGGTTTAATCGAATATAGAGCTATATGCGATCGATGTGTTTGTGATCTTATTAATATGCAATAACGTAACTGTCCATATTTGAGAGCAAAAGACAGCGAAGACTTAGTAAAGACTTCCAGCCTATTGCATTATCGATATATTATATCGCAGTTATAGACTAGTGGGTAGTTAGTAGCTCATCGGCTATTTTTATTTCGTTTAAGAACCAAATAATTCACAATGAATTGAATAACGTATTATAAAATCTGACGGATGGACTTTAATCGTTTATTTTAATATGGTTAGGTCATATTATAAAAGGCGGAAACAGAAATTTCGTAAAAAAGCATTTCCTGGATATCTATAATATAAAAATGAATCGCAAAATGTGTTGGTAAGCGCATAACTCAACAACGCCTGGACCAATTTTACCAATTCTTTTTTTTAAATGTTTGTTGAAGTCCAAGGATGGTTTTTACAGCGAGAAAAGTTTGAATAATTTCCGGGTAAACCCTAAAAAACTCGAAACTTCACCCCTAAGGGTAAAACAGGGTCCACGCGTACGAAGTCGCGGGCGGCCGCTAGTAATTATATAAAAAAGGTATTAGTAATACTAACAGAAATATCAATAAAGTAGGCCTTTTAAACTGCTTCTTGAATTCTTATTAAATTGAGCACTATTAGATTATTCACGGTGGTACAAAAACACGTTACGTTACTACGTTAAATTAACTTTTTTGGTTAGCAGTTTTTTGTTAAAATAGAGGTTAATGTATTTGCGACTAAACTATATCACAGTATCTGACTTACCTTGACCTACTATCATGCCAATAGTCTCTAAATTTCAACCGGAAGCAAAAATAAAAACCTAAATTTTAGTACGGTGGCGTGATCGAAAACGATTCAAAATATTGTTCTCGATTTCTTATTCAGGTTATTGATACATAAACATCAAATAACATAATTACATATGAACGGTATGTTATACAGGTTGGAATTTTGTAATGCCACCTGGAGGGAAAGTACTCTTAATACTGTAGATAGAAAATTTTACTCAAAGGAAACATTCCTTTATTTTTGAAAAGAAATAGAACTGCATTCAAAGATTTTCAAAAATTTGCTTGCCATACTCAGGAATCGAACCAACTAAAATCTGTTAAAAATTACACCCTGTATTTTTATTGCATCGATCGTTAGGGTAAGGTATAAGGATGAAATCTCTCTGACAAACTTGATTAATCAAGTGAAAGGAAAACCATGAAATCTTACATTATTTTAACTATTTACAGAAAATTGTATGGCATGGTAGAGAATTTACGAAAAATTTTCGGAAATCTTTAAATGCAGTTCTATTTCTTTTCAAAAATAAAAGAATGTTTTCTTTGAGTAGAATTTTCTATCTACATTATTAAAAGTACTGGTATTACAAAATTCCACCCTATATCATAGACTACACGAACGGCCGTCTTCGTGAATCAATTTATTTCCGCATCGAATCGCCTTCCCTCGTAGACAGTGCAGAGCTTAGTGCGGCTATATTTTGAATTACTTCGTTCGTTCGTTCGTTTCAGCCGAAAGACGTCCACTGCTGGACAAAGGCCTCCCCCAAGGATTTCCACAAAGACCGGTCCTGCGCCGCTTGTAGGAGATCCGTAGGAGAACCAGAGTGACTGACATAGCCCGCAGAATCGCTAAAATCAAGTGGCAGTGGGCGGGGCACATAGCTCGAAGAGCTGACGGCCGCTGGGGCAGGAAAGTTCTTGAGTGGCGACCACGAGCTGGAAGACGTAGCGTGGGCAGGCCTCCCACTAGGTGGACCGACGATCTGGTGAAGGTTGCGGGAAGTACCTGGATGCAAGCGGCGCAGGACCGGTCTTTGAATTAGTTGCCTACATCTAAATACGAGTATATATAACTCAAAGGTGACTGACTGGCTGACTGACTGACTGACATAGTGATCTATCAACGCACAGCCCAAGCCACTAGACGGATCGGGCTGAAATTTGTCATGCAGGTAGATGTTATGATGTAGGATTTTACGAAACTCCACCCCTAAGAGTGTAAAACGGGATCCACGCGTTCGAAGTCGAGGGCGGCCGCCGCTAGTGTAATCTATAACACCTCACACTTAGGATTGTAACGCCCGTATTAACAAACATTACTATGAGGTCTCCCAGTACGCGTGGACGCACAGGGTGACACACGAACCAATCACAGAACTCTACTCTATTCAACGCTGTGTGTTCGATTTTCTGCTTCACTTAAGCAAGCATCGTTTGTGAATACGGGTGTTACAGTTAAAAATATTCCCCTGAATATCACAAAAAACCTCTAAGCACAGGCAACGTCCTCGTGAACACTCAGACGTTTGGTCATTTGATTGCTTGTCCTCAACTTTGCGCTCTGCGCTAAGCTCTACAAAAGTTTGTTGTTAAGAAGGGTCTACATAAGCATTTTAACTCTACATTTCATGTGGCTTTTACAGTAATTCCATACTATTATGTTATTTTTAGGTGATACCTAAATGTTAAAGAGGTCCACATCAGAACCGTCATTGACATCCCGGACAGCGGGCCATAGCAAGCTCCATGAAGTCTCCGAAAGAAGATCTCTCTAGAACCTTAAAATATCAACTTTCAGGCAAGTTCTGCCTGCAGCTGCTCATGCTTTGTTTTGACATAAAAATGCTCCTTTTATCAACAATCTACAAAATCAAAACAACTTGCAAAATATGAAAGTTTGGCTGATCAGTAATTAAGCTGATAAGCATCATGAACTGGTTGACAGTCTTTTTATCATAACTTTGGTAATTGACAAGGTCTATCCTTAATATCGGAGATAGAATACCCTCTCGCTATCTCCAAACATGGCCATCTCATCCACTGCGATCGAATTTCCACCCTATGATAGCAAACTAAACCGCATTTTCACTATATTAATATAACCACTGATCATGGAACGCTACAGCCGATTTCTTCAAAAATAGTTCGTACACTCACTTGTAATTTAGTTGAAATTCGATTAGCAGCACATTTATTTGAGATGATTGCAACCGATTTTAGAATTATAGACTTTAAGCCATCGATACAACGTTATAAGTTGATTGTACGAGATGGGCTATGGACCAAATAGACGCCGCTGAGAGGCAGTGTCGCGAAACGCGACCACGTTGCAATATAAAAGGAAGTTTTGTTTAAATTTCTTTATCACACACCGGCTGTCCGTTCCCGCGCTCGGTTACTCGCCCTCTTGTCTCACCTGCAACCATGTCTGCACGATTTTTGGTGAGTATCATAAATTCATCACACATTACAATTAGCATACCACACAATGTTATTAATAGCTTGCTAAAAATAACACAAAATATATTTTAAAAGAATTCAAATTGCCAAAATCCAATTTATAAATTAACTCAACATAAAAGATTTACTCACACTAATCAATTAAACTTCAATGTCGTTATTTTAACGAGTACAAAAAAGGTTTTCCACAATGAAAACCATTGAGTAACATTTATTTCCGGGCGCGTTTTCTTTACGTTCCGGCGAAGCTTTGTCGCGGCCTCACAGAGCGGTCAGCGGTTGCAACATGGTTTTTGCCTAAAACAAAAACAACTCAATAACGGCACGCAATATCTAAAACTGTTTCTTAACCTCACCCGACACTTTTGTTACTTTTTGCCAATTGTTATGACACTAATCATTGTTATGTAGCCATAATAAATTTGCATCAGCATATGTGGTTACACCGCTTTTCATGTTAGACTTTTCACTCGAAATTTTCACCCAGGTCTCAAATACAATGGAAATGACGTACCTAGTAGAGATCACGGTGCTTTCATTTTCGTTAGTAAAAATTTGAAAGGCCATCTGCAACAATGCAGCTTTGGACGCACGCTCACCTAGTCAATGACTTAGCCGATCTCCTCCACAGTTTTTCATCTGAAGCTTGTTTTTTTTGGCGGCAGAGACTATTACATGTTAGTATTGTGTGCCTCTGTATTTATGTTTTTATTGGGCATACTATAGTTATGTAATTGCATGTATGGCAAACTACTAGCTGCACTGCGAAATTTTCCATTTAATTATCATTTGTCACTGCTGTGTCTGCGATTGTTCACACCAACATTACCTTTGATATCAAACTAAATTATTAATTGCTTTAAATTTTTTTGTTTGTGAGAGAGGGAATTTTTTTAGGATAGTGTTTTTATAATTATAAATATTTTCGAGTTAAGTAAAACTGTATAAGGATTTTAGACGATTTTTCATATATCTGTCTTACATACCTAGAGGAAATTAAATTACCATTTATTCACATTAGACTAAAATTTCGGATTATCTGCTATCCTGGGGTGAGGTTATGAAATTTTATGTTACTATTTTCACCACATAGAACAATCGGAAACTTTTAGTAGATTAGTTAACGAATCCTGTATCGCCTGTAAGTCTAAACCTTATTCCATGTTAGTACATAAAGAAGATTGATAATTAATTGATGATCAAACGTGTTCTTTCCAGTTGGCAGTCGCATGCCTGTCTGTGTTGGCGTCGCTCGCGCTGGCCGGCGGCCACGGCGGCGGCCACAAGAAGGTGGTCATCCACGTGCCTCTGTTCGTGAAGCACCACCACCATAAACACACCATCGTCAAGCACGTGCACCACAAGAGCGGCGGCGGCGGCGGCGACGACCACTACGAGGTGCTTGGGTACACCTACGGGGAGCCTAAGGCGGCGCCGCACTTTGGCGGAGGAGGTCCGTATTAAGTTCAGATGCCACTTGTGTTAGAAGTCAAATAGTATTAAATGTGGATGACTAGTACCTACAGACTTGTTTCTTGGATAGTGATACGTATAATGCTCCAAAAAAGCAGAATTAAATGCTACATTATTATATTACAAAACTTCAGTTATACATTTAAGTAATTGGACTGATGATTAAACTTACTTTATGGTAGGTATAATTTTGTTTCTGATACAGCCTATTCAACTAAAGATGCTTAGGTTTTGATATAAGTTTTACTAGGGTCAATATGGAAACTAAACAAAGTCTGAATAAATTCAAACTTAAATTGCGATCACTGAGCTTATTCTTTAAAATTGATTTGAGCAGAAATCAGGCAAAATATCTTACTGATTATAAATATTATCAATTAAACAACAGACAAATTCGAGATCCAAAATCAATATTACATAGTTTAGCCCTTCAAGTACCAGCGAATCGAGACACAATAGAAATCAATTGACCGCGGTCTCACGTGACCACTTAAGGCTCCACGAATTAGCTATTAATACTAAAGGTCTGGCTGTTACATTTCAGGACACGGCCACGGCTGGGGCGCGGCAGACGAAGGCCACGGCGGGTCCTACGGGGACTCCCCCGTGAGCTTCGAAGGTGGCCATGCCGACTACGGCCTGTCTTCCGCCGGCGAGGAGGGCTACTCCTCTGAGGGTGGATACTAACCTCCACAAAACCTCCCACGCTACTCAACTACCTGCCTCAAGAAAGCGTGAAGTCAACTCGCTATACTCACTAAACAGCTTCACTTAACTAAGGGTATTTATAAAACAGTATTGCATCTCTCATCGTTCACACGTGATTGTTAGATCGTATCTTTTAGTAGTCTACTAAAGACTCGTCAGTATGAATTAATTATCCAAAGTGAAGAAAAATGTAATGCTTTCATTCACGATGTTACTCATTGATATGAAAACAATGCTTTGTTCTATGAGTAGGTCTGAGTCAGTTCCTTTTTAAGTGTTTTACGTAATAATGACAAGTTAAGTACTTGTTGAAGTACATTGTACATTGTTAGTATGCTGAATACTCGCTTTCCAGTTAATTTAAAGGTTTTTTAATGTTGTGATCGTTGTTGTTATTTGTAAATAGTCGGAAAATTACCTATTTTATTGTTATATAGCATAAGACTGTTGTTGTGAATGTTTTCCCGGTTTAAGCGGGTGTTGTTAATTATTTGTAATATTATACATTTGTTAAGCTAAATAATAGATTTAAATTCTATTCTTTTATTTCAACCTCTACCAACTCCTAAAAGTACCTACACCTACCTCATTTTCCTCTAAGATAAACGGAAATTAAATAAGTTCTTCAAGAATAATACAAATATTAAGCGCACAAAGTAGCTACCTACTCTTGAGCACCTCATGTGCTTATAATTATTTAGTGATTGAAGTACATAAGGCTTTTCCGACAGGAACTAAATCATCCTACTAATATTAAAAATATGTTTGTTACTCTTTCACGTAGAAACTAAATATTTACTTAATGGATTTTGATGAAACTTTAGAGTATTATTGTTTATCAGAATAATATACGCTTATAACCATCAATGACAAAAGCCGTGGGCATAAGCTAGTACATTGCCTTCATTAATTAGACCTACCTAAACGTATAGTTCTTACGATTTGTCATCCGACTATGCCAGAAGGAGGGGTATGTTTTTTTATGTGTTGCCTTCATGTTTCGTGTTTGTTTTATCGAAGGTCCTTGATAGTTATATTCATATCACAGACCTTTTCACTAATTATTACTTCATACATTAGGGTCAATACATTTGAGTAAAAATGCAAAATCAAAGAATGCCCGTCACCAAAAGTAAAATGCAGTAACAAGTTACTTTCTAGGATTCGTTTTGTTCATTTTTGCGGCGCCGGTTGCGCGCGAACCGACTTTAAGTACCTAAGACGAATCAAGATTCGTGCTCTAGCTCGCAAACTTGGAATCGCTTTGTATATTGTTACTTCTTGTCCTTAAAATAAATTATTTTGTCATTAAAATACAATTTTTATGACTAAGTTATACGTCCATAGCAAACAGTATCAAAATATTTTGACCATGTTTCCTTCAGCGTTCCAGATCTGCGCCGGGGCTAAGTAGGTAAGGTAATAGGTACTCGTATGTATTTGTCTACAATCAAGAAGAATCTAACGACACCACTAACGATGTAATCGATCAAGCCGTTTAGGCTACAGAGCGTGCCAAATAAATATACATACATACATACAAAAGTAAAAACATAACCCTCCTTCTGGCGATACTAGTTTGTCATACCAGTATGACCACGAGGCCGCGAGGATATAATTATCTTGGCTCCCGTGACTCACTGCGCGAATTATTTAAAGAAATTGATATATTAACAGTAGCATCATAATATATTTTTGAAAACATTATGTACCTATGTTCGTAAGAATCTAAATTCATTAAGTAAAAAAGTGATTCTCATAACTTTAATATGAGAAATAAAAATAAACTTGCCGTTCCAAATGTCAGACTACATAAAGTAGGTAGGTTAATACTTGGGGAATAGTGTTAAAATGTTTAATACCACAATCTCTCATAGAACTACCTATTCATAAATTCAAGGTACAGTTTATGAAAATCCTTATGAAAAAAGGTTACACGTGGATTTTACGAGTCATGTAAGCTATAAATTGCTGTATTGGATTGAAAAAGAGGCTGACAAAGGTGACTGAGTTTCTTCCGCCACTTCTTCTCAGCACCAACCCATATGTTGTCCCGAAGTGGTGGTAGGGCAAGCTATATTTGGGACGTGTATAAGTTCCCTGGAAGGGCCTAAGTACTGAATTGTACTGAATAAACAATTTGAATTTGAATTTATTTCTTATAGTCTGACATTAATTTTCAAACAAGATGTGCAAAAAGGACAATATGACCACAAGGACATGTATATCCTCGTGGTCATACTGGTATGACAAACTAATATAACAACGACAAAACGGGAGTGTGTAAAAATACAGACGTTTATACAATTAACTTTTTTAAAGTCCTACAAGTTGGTTAAAAGACCTGCTAAAATTCAGAGATGAAGCCGGAAAAATCTCATGAACCGCAGTTTAGGGTAAAGAAAGAAGTAAGGGATGCGAGGGATGTATGGGCTGTGCCATTCACTATTATTTTTCTACCAAATTAGTTTAAATTCAGGAATAAAATACTATCATATAATTACAATTAGTTTGGGGCTAGCAGCGCAGTGTAAAATGTCCAAGGATTTTATTTATTATTATTATTTATAACTTGTAGACTCACAAAAAAATTGAGTGTACAGCGAATTTCCCACAGTTGGCGTAAATGTAAATTGGAGTGGAAAAATCATGGTTGAAAATATGTAATACACTTCCAAAGCTACACTTGAAAAGAACTGTGTGCCTGCCTACCATGAGTTATCGTTAGGTGTGCTCGTTAGCGACTGCGTAAAAAAATGACATTAAAATGTATGACATATTGTGCAGCGCCCCTAGCGGCTACTTTCAAGAAATGAAATCTTCATAGACTTTTTTGACGTACTCGCTAGCGAGCACACGTAACGTAACGTAAGCAGTAAGCACACGGTACTCTAAACACGTTGATGTTAATTATAAAACAATCACAGTTAGAAGCACAAAATATAACTATGCAGTTTTTACTCATTGTCACTTTTCCTTCATCTGTTTTCCGTTTCCCATTAGTAAGTTGTGAGAAATGTATTTAGTGTCGAGTAAAAGTGCCTTTCAATGTTAATGCAATGAATAATAGTTCCGAAGTAACTATGTAACTAACTAGGTAACTAAACAGAAAATAACGTTTCATGATATAAGAAAAGGTTATAATCTGAGATTTACAAAACAATTTTTAGATTTGACTTTGAGTACTTACTCGTATATTGATGAATAAATTAAAGCCATGTATTCATTAGGCAACATTTGTTGATAAACACTGTTTATTATAAACTGTTATAAACAATCTATACTAAATCGGTAGAGAGGTCAATTCTGTACATGAAATATATTTTAAAAATAACTATCAGGGGGTGATTAGTGATCAATACTGATGCCAAAAATGCAATCAGTAAAATTTTTGTCTGTCTGTCTGTCCGTCTGTATGTTCCTTATAGAAACAAAAACTATTCGACGGATTTTAACGAATCATGGTACAATTATTCTTCATACTCCTGGACAGGTTATAGTATACTTAGGAATTCCCACGGGAACAGGAATTAGCGGGAAAATCCTTTTGTATGAAAAATCTAAAGTAATATAAAGTATATATGTATATAATATAAGAAAAATCTAATATAAAGTCTTAAGTTATATGCTTGAAATTTGGCCTGCAGGTACCTTAGTAAACTTAAAGCTTAGTTACAACAGGATATTGCAAAATTCCCACGGGAACGGGAGTTAGCGGGAAAAAACATTTGTATGAAAAAATCTAAACTTCGTAAGACAGATGAAGGGGGTAAAACGGGATCCACGCGTATGAAGTCGCGGGCGGCCGCTAGTGTTTCATAATGTTTCATCATCTCTGTAAACAGTTTATAAACAGTTCATAAACATAGCTGATGAAACATTGTTTATGATACACGTTGCCGTGCTCCCCGCTATGAGTGAACAGCAAGGGTGGACGGCCAAGTTTCAGAAACCTGTGTTTATGGTAAACTTGATCCCACCAAAAACATTCTGTAAAAAATTAGCCAAGTCTCGATGGAGCTGCCTGTTTATCTCTAAAAAGTAATGANAGAAAACTATGTGTAAAATTGGATTGAAAAAAACTGGTCCAAATTAGCGGACTCTCCCTTATATATATTTGGTAACAGAAATCTTTAAAAATAAATAATCGTCCTCGACCCTATCCAATGTTTACCCTATTTTTATGTATATTTACATTTGTCTTAATATAAGTAGCTTTATTTAATACTAAGCATGTTGTGTACGCTGATTTTGGATCTCTGTTTAGTTATTTAATATTTTGTTAATTTCATGGCTATGTACCTAATTGACAGTGATCTGTTTGTGTACCTATTTTAAATAAATAAATAAATATAGAATCTCTAATTGTTATTGTTTCCAAAACTTATGGTCGTTTGTTTACAATGGCGACATATTGAAGCACGAACACATTTCCGGCCAAGAGCAGTACTTAGGGGCGTAGTTCGGATGCGCGTGAGTGCTGTTTCCGTGGTTTCCGCTCTGCAGACGAGTCTTCCGTTTAAGTGTGATTCAACAGAACGCGGCATGTTAATTACCCAATAGGGGCCATCCATAAAGTACGTCACACGAATTTCATGATTTTTTTACCCCTCCCCCGTCCTTGTCACAGGTGGTCACATTTCTGAGACCCCCCCTCCCTAGTGTGACNTACTTTTTAGAGATAAACAGGCAGCTCCATCGAGACTTGGCTAATTTTTTACAGAATGTTTTTGGTGGGATATGGCTTAACTTTAACGATAACCGGTGTTTTTTGTATGGAGTTTGACAGATTTTTGACGTTTGTCAAAGTTAAAGTAAGATGGTGCAATTCAGCCTAATTGTACTAATAGTTGTTTTGTAATTAGACTTCATTAGTAGTTTAGTATAGAGATGAAACGGATAGTGGTTTGGCCGGATACCGGATACCGGATATCCGGCCAGCTGCTAGGCCGGATAGCCGGATATCCGGCGGCCGGATAGTTGGCCCATTGTCTCGTTGCATGTCGTGACGAGTTTAGCACCGCACAGGTGCTTCGAACGCGATCAGTGGGTCTATTAGCAGACTAGACTAGTCACATTTTTCGAAAATCGAATCTAGTCCGAACAGAATGTCAGATTTTGCCACTTGTCTATCAAATATCTATTGTCATGATGACATTAGACCATCAGTGAAAAAAAGATCGCCTATTTTATTTGGCAATATTTCGACTTAACAGATATTTACTATTTATGTATTCGTCATTGGAGTGAATAGCCCAGAAAAAGAAATTAGTTTTTTAAAGGCCTTAATATGGCTTTTTGTAACTTTTTGAACTTTAAATAAAAGCAGTCATTATTATTAAGCCATTTTATTGATGTTCACCTCAAAGATGATTGAAAAATGTATTTCATTTTATAATAAGAAATTGTCGTAGTTTTTTAATATCCAGTATCCGGCCGGATAGTGAGTTAGGCCCTTTTCACACGTCCCGGTTGCCGGCTAAGGGGTCATCCATAAAGTACGT